CGTCAGGCCTCAACAACTTCGCGGTCAATTCCCGCCAAACAAGACTCATGGAACATAGAACACGCTTCGCTGATGGTTGGAAAACAGGAACTTTACACAAGACAAAAATGCAAGACTAGTGTCAGTTTGGCCGAAAGACGCTTTCGACTCCGAACCACAAGTTCAGGGGCAGTTTTATCTTAAATTGAGGATGTGATTTAACTTTAATCAGAGGGTTAAGAACTGGAAAACTTCTCATGAACTGAACTGAAGTCTAAGATAACTAAGGTCTGATACTTCGTTTAACAAAGCCTCGGATGATCGAATTAAGATACATTTTTCAGAACATTTACACCAAAGATTTGGCGTTGGTGCCTAAACTCAGGAAACAGAAATTTTAAGCAACCAGCCGGTGTGCCCGATATACGACATAAACTAGCATCCCACGCTTAACTTGACTGTTCCGTGAACAACGCAATGCAATTCCCATCAAAATCTGCCAATTTGTAATAGAAAAATGAAATTGTATTATCGAGATCAACCCCATCACCGAATTCCAGAGCAATTGCTTTTCTTTAATTTTTTTCTGAAGAATTATCAAGAGTATGTTGTTCTACATAGAGTTTTTCAGTCTTCGGCTGCTTGAAGAATCTCAAGTTACGTCACCCAGTGCATTTGCCGAAGTAAACCGTTTCCTCACTTTAATGATGACGTGTGAATGCAAGACAATGAAAGGATTTGAAAAGCATCGCAAATGTTTTACGGCAGCGTAATTTTGATAGAATCTAATCAAGTTAAGCAACGATCTACGCAGATGACCTGAAAGTTTTAGAAATTGCAGGGAAGAAGCCTGAAAAAAATCAGACTCCAACGGTATTGGAACCCAGGCCTCCCAGTTATTAATTGGGCACCACCACTAACTGAACTATGAAGCCACGCTTTGGAAGTGAGGCAAATTTAAGGGGGTTCTTACTTCCCGTGGAGGAATTTTATCACAATTTTAAACGAAATAAGTTTCATCTGACCTGATGATTAAAAATTTCTGAGTCGATCTTGCTGTTAGCTTAGTCTTGCTGTTGGCTTGGTAAAAACATCGTCGTGTTTTTATCATAATTTTGCAACTCTTCCACCATTTTCAAGGCTGTTTAATCCATTTGACAAAGTCAACCCCGGCTATGTCACCTTTCGCAAGTCATATATTGATATCATAGGAAGAAACAGTCGATTTAGAACGAGTACAGCCAGTTGAGTAGTCTGCTTTTTAAGGGTAAATTAAATGTTTTGCAAATTGCGTGTGGAACCACAATTGTGCCTCCACCGTGTAAAATAAGGAGTACGTCCAACATGTTGTAATTTGTTGAGCATTATGAGTAAAGTAAAGATTAAATTTATAACATTAACTGATGTGTGAAATAAAGAAATATTAACTCTCAAGGTAAATACATGTTTGCTCAAAATTCTCTTATCAACTGTATCTTTCTACAAGTCGTCAACTCCAAAATTACTCATCTACACTTCAACTTCCCCAGTTTGCTTACACAGAGGAAGGGGGAAAAACCCAAAAAGAACGGTTTTCCTTTTCCATGGTCAGAATACTTTTGGATTTAGTTCGGTCTTGACTGCAAGGTAAGTTCTTTTACAAGGGTTAGGAAAATTTTCATCATTAAGTCATGAATACTATTGAAAGCTTGAAATATGATCAGGACAAGAACAAATGATAATCTGTTAATCGCTAGGTATTATTTGAATTTGTCCGATTTGTTATAGAGCGAGTGATGGAACGGTAACATTAACCTGATCCACCCATAAGACCTTTGATATTCTTAGCATCCGCTCTCATTGGCAGTCGGCAATCAATTAAATGATTTACTCTTGCCCCCCCCCCCCCCCCCCCCCCCCCCCCCCCCCCGTACTCTTTTGGCGACGACTGATCCCCTCTCCGTGATTTGATTGCCTAATTCCCCCTTCCCCCCACTCCCCTTAAAGGCGGTTCCCAATCAGGTTGGAGAGGAGCTGGAGATACCTTTCCTATCCCTTTCCCTTCAATGGTGTTACTCGGATACGAGAAAAATATACCCAAGGCCAGGTCGCTTAGCATCCAATATGGCTACCCGACATTTCAACAAGCGGTAACTTTTCCAATGAAGTAATCGCTTTGTTCGAGACCCCCTAAATCCTACAAAATGTTCATCGGAAGTCTTGTAGCATCCAGATTTTTAGGTCTCATTGCACACTTTGTAGTTACTGTGGTGATATTTCTATCCAAGGTGGGTTTTTTCCCAAATCGAAGAAGCTCTGTAATGTTCATGTTTGGTTGTTTATTGCACGAGTTTACGGTTATATATATCATTCCGTGGCTCCTGATGATTCGACTCGGAATCATTTCTTCAAATCACTTTCAGGACGCAAATGTTAAAGCTTGCCTGCCTATTCAGTATACAGAAAGCGAATTTTCATCTAAGGACAAAGAGTAAGTGTGTAAAATTCTTTAAAAAAGTGCATTTTAGACAAAATACTCCGTAAAAGTTAGGATTATGTATCTCCTTGAAATCCTTAAATTCTTATCGGCATCATCAAAATTAGACTATAACCAATCTTTTTAGAGTTAATTTCGATTTTTGTAGTATTGTAATAACGATTGAGGTATCCTAATTTAAAAATATATTTGTCAAATGTTCAACAGGGCCATTCTACTGTTGTGTAGTTAGTTGTCAAGCCTTTGATTTTGAGTGAGGCCGAAGGTGGCCTTGTTGTGATAGAGACTAGCATCTAGTTAGTGTGATAAAAAAGTAATTTAGTATTATTAACTGAGTTGACAATGTAAATTGGCCATCATAAAGAATTAGAAAGCTGATGTTTCGAGCGTTTGCCCTTCATCAGAGTGACAAAGGGCTAATTAACACTCAAAACGTCAGCTTTTAAACTCTTTATTGTGGCCAATTTACATTGTCAACTCAGTTGATAACGCTAAATTACCCTGTTATACTCTCCCAACGACACAGCACCACAGTTTCTTCAGAAACTTACCCCCTTTATCTATTTGATAACAAAGTAATTTAAATTTGAACAGTAGCAATTTAAGTATTACAATAAGGTCACCCTCAGCCTCACTCCTGTTCAAAGGCTTGGCAACCAAGCAACTGTAAAATGGACTATTAGCAAGTCTTCACCCTTTAACCCCTAACAGACTAGCATCTAAGTTCTCCTTACTTTATCAGACCTGAATCACTTGTCAAGGTCACAAGAATGTAATAAATGATCACCAACTAAAGAATCTCTTGATTGTTAAACAAATTCACCTTGTCAACACCTAAGGATTGAGAACAAACAGTATGGAGAATATGCATACAGATGTCAGGGTGTAAAGGGTTAATCAACAAGACTTTGTGCTGATGTTTTTTTTTTCCAGGTTGATTGTGGGTTTGTCTCTCACTCTGGTGTTTCTTGGCTTAGAGTTTGGTGGATTTATTGGGGGTTGCTCCATGTTTAATGGTACTGCTGGGATTCTCTGTATCCTTTTTGATGGAAGATGAAATAATTGCTTATTCTTTAGTTGATGGCTTGTTCTCCAATTTACTGAGGCTCAATGACTAGGTGTTGTTTGAGAAATGAGTCATTGCCACCCTATCTTTCAAACAACAAACTAGGGGCTGGGGAAAAAATGTCTTTGGAACCAATTAGCTTAAAAAATTGAAATTCTGAAAACCTCTTTGCAGTAAAGATGTATTTATGTACAGCTCTGGTAATTTTATGGTGAGTTCAATTGTTTGGGTCTGGAACTGCCAAATCATGACTTAGGAACAGGGGGATTGTTTTAGTGGCTGTAGATTCTTCTTAACTAAACGTGAAGCCATTGCAGCTCATTCAAGTGCAGCAATTTCTCTCTCCATGTTTGTTCTTGAGGAATGGGACTGTGATAAGTTTTGGTACATTTTTGGATTCTGTAGGTGAGTGAAACATGACAGTAAATATCGTGATTAGTTGTTTGTGAAAATTATTTATGAATTTGAAATATCGAACACTGGGCAGCTCAAATCTCCAAAGTTATCCTACAGAAAAATAATTGAAAAATATAGTATCCATGTACTTGTAAAATGGTTTACCCCCTAAGAGTGACCAGCAGCTAATTTCTCCTTACAATATCACCCCCTGAATCAAACATTAAGGTTATGAGAACAAAGGAATGATCACCAGCTAAAGAGGCTCTTGATTGTTCCACAAATTCTCATTGTCAGCACCTTAGGAAATGTATAGAGAACAGTATGGATAATAAGCAAACTAATGTTAGGGTGTAGACAGTAAATTTACTGGTGAAAGCCTTTTTACAGGTTTAACACCACAGTGCTTCAATTCAGTAATCACTATATTTATGTTATACTTTGATTGTATTTTGCAGTGCTTTCCCAGCTGTTATGGAAACATGTGTTTTGATAAGTGTCTTGATGTTTCGAGCTGACAGATAACTAACAGTTTTTATATATAGTCATTTTTATTAGCCATAGGGAGCAGGTTGCTTTATTCTTCAACCTCTCTTTTCTCTATGATAAAAGACATCCGAGGTTGTAATTATTATGCAAAGATCTACAGGTCTGGCACAGTAAAAGATAGTTTAGTGAGAGGAGAAAATTAAGAAGAATTTATTTAACCCTCACAAAGAGCTTGAGGTTGAACATTTCACCAACAGCAGATTTGTGTCTTTCCACCACCAGCTTTTGTAATGTAATATAGTTTGTTAATATAAAGTTAGTTAGCTAGTTAGTTCCCAGTATTGCTTGACCCACTACTATGACTAATAATAATTATATATTTATCAATTAGAGCCCGCAGTTGTGATTGAATAGTTAAAAGTTGTGAATAATAAGTTTATTTGATTCAAGATGGCTTGGCTTTAAATTTACATTTTTTTAGTAAGTTCAACACAAAATGTATCATAACTTGTGGAAAATAAAAAATTCATTTATATCTTGCTCTCAATTATGTTCATACATGTAGGCCGAAAACCAAGCTACTCCTTACATCAAATAATATCACCACATTTATCATCTGCTATTCCAGGGAACTTTGTCTTCAGAGTTAAGAGTTCTTTTTGCCTCTTTAAGTAACAGTTGTGAACAGTCCAACATGTGATTGATTTCCAACTCAGCAGGATTAGCATGCGCCTTCCATCTTATTAACCCATTACAGTCTACAAGATAAGCATGTCCCACAATTTCATTCTCCATGATTTTCTTCTTGATGGGCTTTAAGTTACCGCTAAAGAAGAGGTAGTTATCCTGTCAAAATTAAGTGAAAAAAAAAAGGTTAATCAAAAGACCTTGAACATGACCGAGAGCTTTTTTCCAAAAGTATACACAGTCAAACCAGTAGTAAGTGGTCACCCAAAGGGGATGGAGGGTGACTGCCTCATACAGTTTGGCTGCTTAATACAGGTTCCACAGATTAGGGGTATTATAAAAAATGATAAACAATGCTGCTGTATGCCATAATCAACCACTTACTGTACAGAATTGCTTTTGAAAAAATACTTACTTTGATTTTGGGAGAGGGTGATTGCTTAAGGCTGCTTAAAACAGGTTTGACTGTACCATATTTCCTCAAATCAGCATGAAAATCCTCTGAAAAATTGCCCAACACCCCTTGGGCCACAACATTTAACAAGCACCCCTTGGAAATTAGCACCCTCCTTCCTCATTTTCTTAATAGTAGATACAAAAGAAACCTGTTTCTACTGCCTCTTTATTCGTAACTTTTTAAACTTCAACTACGGCAGAATTAGCACAGGATTACAATAATATATGTCCCACTTGATTAAGCACCTCCTCCTGATGAGCTCCAAACCTTTCAGCCAAAATTTTACATATTAAGCATCCAGGCACTTCATGGTCCAGGCTCATTTTTTCAAAAAGCCTTTTGGCACCTTTAATAGTAAAATGGTCACAAAACAAAAAAACAAAAAAAATCGATTACCTTTACCCCCTTCCTCCCCCCCCCCCCCCCCCCCTGCCCAAACCCTGTTCTTAAAAAAAGAGACAGTCAAAAACTGCATGTGGCTACTGGTATAACACAATCTTTGTAGCACTGAAAAGAACTGGAGGCTGTTTAATGATGCTAGAAGGAAGTATTGCAGAAGATTTGTCTCACATGCAAAACAGAAAACCTGCTGCATCCCACATACTTGTAAGTACCCAGTTCCATAAGAGAAAGATGATTCAAGAATATTTTGACTAATTGACATTAAGCCAATAATTAAATGGTAACAAAAATAATATAAAAAAATAATAATGACGACAACAGTAATATAATAATAATTTAAAGGGGCTGGCTTGAAAGCCTCATGGTTCCCCAATCCTCTTGGCTCTTAAAATGATTACCTATGCTTATTTCAATTTTGACCATTAATTGTAAATAATTTTCTTATTTTATTGCAATTCCATCTTTTCAGACTTTTTTCCCATGCAAAAAGGTATTCTGTGTTATAGGATATTCTGTCATTCCCCAACTTAAGATATTCCACCATTCCATCATTCTGTTGAATAACTCATTAAGGTATCATGCTTTGCAGCTTGCTCCCTTTGCAGTAAGGAGAAAGTTGCTGATTCAAACAGTAAAATGCACTCTTTTCTAGGAAAAGAAAATCCTCAAAGCTTTAATGACATGCAGATCACATCTATTGAGATATTTCTGCAAGGAAGATTTTGATTTAAAATTTTGTGTCTGTTGATGCCACTGTGAAATTATTTTGCGATGTTTATTGTCTTGTGTAGTGTTGTGGCAAGATCTACACAATTATGCTGATTTAAACTGTAAAATTGATTTGGAAGTTCAAAGAAAAAATATTTTTCTTTTAAGTTTTACGATGTGCCGATCACACCTATTGAGTCAAGAAAAAGTTTTGTTATAAATTGTGCACAATCCTGAAATGATTGTGAGATGTTTATCATCTTCTGCTGTCTTCCATAGTGTCATTACAAGAACTGAAAACATAATGTGCTTGTGGCTTTAAGCCAGAAATCACCAAAGGAGAGAACTCAACTGTGTATCATGTGCAAATGTCAAACTTTTAAGACACTCCGAAAAAGACAATTAGTAGCACTGTGAAAACTTGGGTCAAAATTTGGTTATGGGAAATCTATTGTTACACTCACTCACACATCTTGACAACATAAAAATATGTGGCTTTCCTCCTATAGGTGGCAATACACACAAAAATTAACCATGGATTGACAAATATTTCACATTTTTCTTTTAATTTCTTTTTTTTTAAATCTATGGTTGCCAATTGGCTCTTTTTATTGAAATTTTAGTCACCATATAATTATATTTTTCACTCACCATAGCAAAATGGTTGCAACTTGGAGGGCTGCCATTATTCAAGGTAATACAGTATGTTTATACATTAGAGACAAACTTAACTTTTACAAATCTTACATGTCTGTCTGCAGGCCTTTCTTTCCTTAAATTTTTTTCAATTACTCCTTTAAATGCTTTGAAGAAAAAACCATCTAAAGCACTTATCTGCAAAAAAAAAAAATTGAATAAATTACACCATGCTCATGCACCTAAACTATAGCAAACTGACAAAGTACTAAGCAATCATGAAGTTTTTCCGCATCATTTATACAACATATACACAGTCAAGAACACAATAGCTAATCCCATCTTTCTTGGCTAATCAAAACTGTAATAAAATTATTGAACATGATTGGTTGTTACCAGCCCAATTCGAGCACCAATAGAACAGTGTACATGTTATGCTTGTGACTGGAAAGTGTACACATCATGCCTGTGTAATTTACCAGCATGTGTTGTGTGAGCGAGTTTTCACTACCTTTTTCTGCCAGTTAATAATTTTTTTTTATGATAATCTTTCTCTGATAATCAGTTTGTTTCTCAAAATTTTGTTACAGCAAAATGGACTTCACATTGTCTAATTCTGTCTGTATTCACATTCATATTTAAAAAATTGAACAACCACAAAACAGTGGTCCTATTTGATAATACCAACGTCAGAGCTCTAAATCCAATTCTACCAGCTTTACCGATCAACATCTTAAAAGAGTGTACTCACAGGATGCTTACCTCATAATACTGTGCAAGAGGCTCTCCATGAAAGTGTTTCACAAATGGGAGTCTGTACTTGTCACACATAGACTGCGTAAGAATTCAAACTGTGATAGAACTGTTCATTTTCACACGAGTAAATTGTATTTTATTTTGGAGCCACTAACCACCAAAAAAATTTTTTTTTCGATAATAGAAATTTCCTTGTTAAACTGATCATCACGATGAAAGAATTATTGCAATTGAATTAAAACTCACAATTCTACAAGTAGTTAATTAAAGCTCAATTTCTTTACATTCACAACTGTCTTTCTTGGAACCTGGATCAGGGGAGGTTTTTACATCTTCCTGGGAACCACACTACACAGTTGCAATGAAAACCTTAGCCAAGATAGGAAATCCTTTTGGGGATTTTCCTTTTTTTAAATATTGAGGACCTTTGATAATGCACTAAGAAAAAGCCATGTCATCTAGATACTCAAACTTGGACAGTGACTGTATCACTCAGAAGCATTCAAAGCTTCTAATCTATCAGAATATAATGCGGAAGTGGAAGAAATTTATTGTGCACCAAAAGCAAAGCCTCAATAAAATGGAGTAAGAGGATCCCTGTAGAAGAACTCAACTGAGAAAGAATTCTATTGGGTTCTTACAAGCTCATCTCAAGGAGGGCACATGCCAAAAAAGCCGAAGATAGAACATAAGGTCAAACATTGTGGTATGTGAGGATTTTAAATCAGATATCTACATTTGACTAGAAAAAAAAGCAGAGGGTGACCCTGTTGGAGTGCTGGTGGAGTTTCATCATAAATGCATTGAGAGAATTTCAACAAAGCTCAGAAAACTAGAGCAAGCAAAAACTAGAAACTAACTAAAGATAAATTAAAGTAACAGAACTTTCAAAGAATGTAGAATCAGTGGCCATAGATTCATTTCATTTAAAAGTGAGTAATGCCACTGACTAACCATAGAATTGAAAGCTAAACTGAAGTATATTTGAGAGCAAAAACTGGCAATAAAGAAGTTGAATCTTGTACGTGTGCATTCTCTGCCCTCCCAGAAACAAGGGTGAAACATAACCGAAATGAATAAAAAGTGGTTAACAGTTGCAAAAGAAAACAGAGACAAAGAAAGAGGGATAAAACTAAGATAAACTCATGCAGGCAGCACATCAGAGCATGACAGATGATAAACTCCACAGTTGATAAATCTGCCACAGAAGTTACATTCTCAGGCACAATAGTATGCAAAGGCAAGAGATTAAGAGGGGACCAACCCTTGATGTACAAATGCATTACATATTGACAGAGACCTTCCAATACATGAATTTTTGTTCATGTCATCCTCCAGGATGACAGGAATGACCAAGAAAGAAGGGATTGGGAGAATGGGAGAATTTCCACACTTCCTGAGAACACATTCCTCAAGCTTGAAGAATAAAGGATACCCAGTTGAAATTTTGCACAAATACATCTCTGAAGTTTACTTTACTGGGAGAGAAAGGTCAGTGAAAAACAGAGAAAACAGCACACGGAAGAAAACATTGCCTTTCCTAACACAATAGGTTTTACCTTAACCTAAAGAATACAGAGAAATAATAGTTGAGAAATGGCACCTTATTCAAAGCCTAACACACTCAAGAGCTATATTTAAGGAGCTAGCCCTGTTATGGTATTGAAAAAGGAAATTCATTTAAAGATACCCTGGTCAGAGCTAAACTTTAAATGGATCTTTAAAAATTAATTTAAAAAAATTACTAAAATAGATGCAACATCAATTTTTTTAAAATTTGTTATCAGTAATATAAGGAGATGTATTTTGTGGAAAATCATTTTTTTGGGATTTGTGGCATGTTAAGGAAGCAAAGGATTCTAACCATACCTCTCCATACGCTTTGATCCACAGTAACACCAGTGTTACATGACCTGGAAATTCTTGCTGTAAATCAACTTCTTTCTGAGACAGTGTTCTTGCCTTCAATGCAGGAAAGAGTTGTGAATCCTACCAGTTTAAAATACAGCACAAGTATAAAGTTATGATCATTTTTATTGATGTACATGCTCCATTAAGCCTCCTGTCTCCATAGGAT